TGCCACTTAATTTAAAGACGATTTGATGTATGGAAATCCTTATTTTAATTACAATTATTTTTATTTCATGGGCGACAGAAGAGGAGAGAAGATAAAATTAATATAGTGTAAAGATGGAAATTAGAATTTGTTATACAAATGTGCTTTTTCTCAAAATACTTATCATCTTACAGTAATATTTGAAGTAAAATATAATATATACAGAATACATTTTTTTAAAAAAGCCTGTTAAAAAACTGAAAAATTATAAATTAATCCAGTAAATAAATATAAATATATGTAGCACATTACGATAAAGAGTGTGACATTGACAAGATGGCCACTGCTCATTTAGAAATTCCAAACTACATCCAAAACGAATCTACTAATAGAAGACAACGATCCTGCTTTCCCTCCCGAGGCCAATGCGCTGAGGATGAAAGTGTTTATTGTGATGATGACATAGGTATTCATAGATGGGATGAGAATAAGGGCGAAAGGAAAATCAACATCCTCTACAAAGTGTTCAGAGAAATAAGGCTCAAAAATGACCTTTCCAAAACAGAAAATGTAATCTGGAATTTGAAAGGGATCAGAGATGGCACATACCCTGGATCCATGATAAAGATTCAGGATGTAAATACTAAACCCGTAAAATACCCTGGTATTTATAACAGATCTCATAGGAGAAAAAGAAATTGAACAGAGAACGGGTTGTGCCACAAGTGATTTCGTCTCAATCTGAAGATTGCTACAAAAGCCGAAACCTCGTAGCAGCTCGAGACATTCATAATGATTTTATTCCTGGCGCCAAAGCCGTTCAGAAATATCTAAACAGTCAACTCTATACAAACGCATTCTAAGATCAATGGTTAAATGAGCCTTTTTTTTCTTTTCTTTTTATATATTTATGTCATTCTTCCACGGCCTTCAATCTATGGACATTGACACGTTTCTAAGTCGATCTCTCAGATATAAGGTGTCAGACTGTTCATACCTATCTATCTATCTATCTATCTATCTATCTATCTATCTTTCTCTCTCTCTCTCTCTCTCTCTCTCTCTCTATATATATATATATATATATATATATATATATATATATATATATAATATATGTTTGTGTGTCTGTGTGTGTGTCTGTGTGTGTGCGTGTGTGTGTCACTCTATGCGTCTATCTCAGGCATTTAATTAGCTATTTGTTTCTCAGGTCGGTCTGTCTGTCTGTCTGTCTGTCTGTCTGTCTGTCTCTCTCTCTCTCTCTCTCTCTCTCTATCTATCTATCTATCTATCTCACTCTTCGTATCTATCTACCTCAGGTATTTCATTAGCCATCTCTCTCCCTCTCTTTCTCTCTCTCTCTCTCTCTCTGCATCACACTACTCTCTTTGTAAATATATTTCACCCTCTGCGTATCAAAAATCTCTCTCTCTCTCTCTCTCTCTATCTATCTATCTATCTATCTATCTATCTATCTATATACATATATATATATATATGTATGTATATACACACACACATATACACATACATACATATATATATATATATATATATATATATATATATAAAAAAATATCAGACGTTTCATTAGTTACTTCTTTTCCCTATCTCTCTCCTTCTCTCACTGCATCACAGCACTGTCTTCGTAACTATCTTCCTCTTCGTTTCAAATCCACTCCTACGTATCGATCTATCACCCGCTTCATATCACAATTACTCTCTTCATCTTTCTTTCTTTCTTTCTCTCTCTCTCTCTCTCTCTCTATATATATATATATATATATATACAAAACTATCTGTCTGTTTATCTATCTATCTATCTATCTATCTATCTATTTACTTCTTCGTATCTCACTCACTCTCTTCCTATGTATCTATGTTTCATTCATTCTCTCTCTCTCCATATATATATATATATATATATATATATATATATATATATTAGTCTATAGACTATATATGCTAACATTTTCTTCCCTCGCACTTCTCAGTTTTGGAACTTTCTTCCGCTTTTATACTTTCCAGTCAATTTTGATCTTCCTAAATTGAAACTCAATATCAATCGTTATGTTAGGTCTTCTTAATTCATGTTCTTTAATTTCTCTCTCCCCCTCTCTCTATCTCTTTCCCTCTCCCTTCCTCTCTTTCCTCTTCCCCCTCTCTCTCTCTCCTCACTCCATCTCTCACTCCGTCTCTCTCCCATTCTCTTCCGCTCTCACTCCCTCTCTCTCTTAACGTTTCTCTCTTTTCTTATTTTTCACCTCAGCCACTCATTGCGTATTAGTACTCAGTTGCACCCTACTGGCTTTATTGCCTTACTTGGGGGAAATGATTAATACAATGTATCTATCACGATCTATTCAAATCGATCTACACACACACACACACATAGATATATATATATATATATATATATATATATATATATTGAAGTTAACACTCAGAGGCGACAGTGTTTCATGCTAAACGCAATCATCATGCGTATAAGGATGAAACAGACAGTCGCCGCTAATTTTGAAATAACTAATTCCTGCTCAAATACATATATATATATATATATATATATATCCTGAAACCGTCTGTCCCCTCTGAGTGTTGAGTTCAATGTCCACTTTTATATTTACATTCGCTCTATTTCTAATATTAAGCACTTTATTCGATAAATATACCATACCTTAAAACTATATTTCTTCAAATATATATATATATATATATATATATATATATATATATATGCACATTTCATTGACTGCGACAGACAAGGTGCTTTTATTTAGTTTTTTATACAATTTCCCATGCGATCTATTTTTTCTCTTTCCGGATGATAAATTATATAAAAAGTGTCCGAATGTTCTTTTTTTCCGACGCTTTCGGCTATACATTTAGCCATTTTCAAGGATTAAATATTTTAACTGTTAACTATAAAATAGTTTGTTGCATGTACGTTTTATAAAATATTTTCCTTTATCAAAACACGGTCAAGTTTTTATATAATTTATCATCCGAAAAGAAAAAAAATATTATATCGCATGAGAAATTGTATAAAAAATTAAATAAAAGCACCTTGTCTGTCGTATTCAATGAAATGTGCATGAAAGAAGGATTGCTGCCTAAATACACAAATTTCAAATATATATATATATATATATATATATATATATATATATATATATAAATGACTATTTACTTTTTAGTCTTATGGTTCCATTAATCGATCGATCGAATTTGTCCAACTCTTTATGAAAGTAAGAAATAGAAAAACGGTAAAATTCATTCCCCCCCCACTTCCCATCCCCGATGAAATTCTCTTGTTTGGCGTCTTCTTATTTCAACTTTCATCTTTCTTTCCGTTTCTTATTATATCGTCTTTTTCGATTCAATGACCTTTGATCTCTGCAAGTCAAACTGTTAGCATTGCCCAAATTGAGATCATTGCTAACGGGTTTGTCAGAACGAGATGTACGGAGATATCGAGAAAAACGCAAAGGTTATAAGTGTGCGCGTGTGGAGAAAGAGACATACAGTCAATAAGAAGCTGGTTACCAAGAATGGACACGTGAAATGAATCTTAAGGTGACAGAGGGATGATTTGGTGACTGGTTTCCTTTTCCACCTCATACCCATTCCCCAACCCTTCTCTTGGAATTTAGACATAGTAAACACGATTTCTGATTTATTTAAACAAGTTCCCGTTATAGACAAGGGTGCTTGCCGGTCGACAAATTCTGTGGCTATTTTGCGATAAGAACAAGAATCAATCGTTAAGAGGCCAAGAGGCTGTCATTCAAGTCTCGCGGGACCACCAAGAAAGTTCAGTGACAACAATAATTGCTTCAGACGGACTTTGAAATAAATTATAAATATATAAATAATGCTTAGTAGTCGATTTCAATGTTCTTCACTGGCATCATCTTAATTGCTACGCTATATTTTCATTTGCCTTTATTTGTAAACTAGACTCGCAAATTGATCACGAGTCTTCTCTTTCGCATATTCTGATTATGAGTGAAGCTAGATAAGAACGCTGCCATTTTAATCATTGCTAGCGTCACTTTGCAATAATGGCACATCGTAGACCTGTTGCTGTTAACGCAATACTATTAAAAGGTTCTGAGTTGAAAAATGAAGTAATCTACAATTAATTGCTCATGTAATACCCTGTCACTCCCATGATTGATAACACTATAGATAGTAACTGCCTATAAGTATCTGTAAGTCAACGGAGTACAGAGTCTGGCCGAAATCTTTTTCGGCTTGCTGGTCGAATTTTCTGCCTCTGAGAGGAACCCGGACGAGGCTCTGCCTAAGGGCAGAATCTCGTTCGGGGTGGTTGACCAACCCGATCTAGTTTATGCGGGTTCTATGGGTATTTTTTGGCCGAGCCTACGGGCTCAGAAGACACGCATAAAACTCGGCCTTGTGCCACATTTACCCTCGTGGGGGGAAGTGGCTAGTAAATACCATCTAGCCGAAATCTTTTTTGGCTTGCTGGTCGAACTGTCTGCTTCTGAGCCGAGAGGAACCCGGACGAGGCTGTGCTGATAGACAGTCTCTCGTTCAGGGAGGCAGACAAACCCGTTCACGTTTATGCGGGATCTACTGAGATTTTTTGAGCGATCCTAGGGGCTCGGATGCCCCACTTTAAATTCGGCCTTGTGCCACATCTGACCGCGTAGGGCGGTTGGCAAATATCCTAGCTGGAATCTTTTCCAGCTGTGCTGGTCAAACTCTCTGCCTTCGGGCAGTGAGGAACCCGGACGAGGATATGTCTTCGGACAGAGTCTCGCCTGGAGAGGTAGACAGACCCGATCCCGTATATGAGGGGGTCTACGGGATTTTTGGGTCGAGAGGCAGTTGCTAGATACCGTCTAGCTGGGATCTATTACTCATCTCTTAGCTGTTGTCGAACTCTCTGCCTCCGGGAAGAGAGAAACTGAGACGAGGCTATTACCACAAAAAAACATTCATAAAATCTAAAAAAATATTTTCTGGCATAAAATAACCTGCAAAAGGTTGATAAGCCGTAAAAATGAATCACTCAATAAACAAAATACAATTATATTTCACTTTTTTCAGTATACATATGTATATATATTGCAATCATTTTATCTATATTAGATAGATATTTTATATGTGACAGAAAATATAAAATATCATATGTCACAAGATATCTGAGCATGTCCGATCCAGAAAAAGATTTTCAATTCAATTCTGATTTCTAAAATAAGCTATTGTTGATAAAAAGGATAATCATTATAATTCACTGATTTATTCGTCTTGATTGTTATAGTCACAACGTTTCGGCTATTTCTGAGATGAGGTATTATCATTATTATAAACTGATTTATTCAATCTGTTATCCTCATCTTGATTGTTATAGCCAGAAGCTTTCGAATGTTTGACCTCAAGATTTCTTCAGGTGACTGTCGTTTTTGACAATATTCAGTCCAAGGACCGGGTACCCTGAACGTAACAAAATTATGACAGGCACCTGGAGATGGTCGGAAATAAAATGATCTTAACATTTTATTCTGTAAAATCTAACTTGGTGACATCAATTTCGATAGGTCAGTGTATAATAATAAAAATAATAATAATAATAATAATTCCTCATTTCGGAAATTGAGATAGAAACGAAAATAAAGTGGAAAAAAATTAAAACAGGTGAAAAAGTGAAAAAAATAACAACAAAAGATGCAGATTTTCGATAATGAATAAAAGTGAAAAAAGCGAAAAAAAAAGATGCAAATTGAAAAGGGAAAAAAAGTTGAAACGGGGAAAACGTAAAAAATATTTTATATATAGATATCAACAAAATATGCATATTTCCAGTAATTAATTTTAATGAGAATCAAGGAATTATCCGATTTTAATGGATTTTTCGGTTCTTATTCATTACTCATACAGGAATCAACAAAATAACAATAACGATATTTTTTAAGCGTTTCAAAAATACAAATTAAGCAGCTGTAATTTAAATAAACGTCTGCATCATGGAAAAAAAGCGGGGATTTACATACAGAGAGAATCAGGAATTTTTCAAACAGAATGTGAGAGATACGTCCGTAAAATTTTCAGCGATGGAAGTGGGATAGACGATTGAAGACACATCAACAGAAGTCGCTAGTAGCTAAAAGGCGCAAGCTCTGTTTCTGTAGGGTTTTATAATTTTAGAGTGTAAACATTGGATGACACAGTGAAGGCGTAACATACGTACTAATAAAAAAATATCAAGAATGTTATACATAATCATACATAATCATACACACACACACACACACACACACACACACATATATATATATATATATATATATATATATCAATTCCCGCATGCGCGTTGTTTGTTTTTTTATTTCGTTGACTGCACAGTATAAAAGTGGAAAAAGAGTGCCACAATGTAATTCACACCACCAGAACTGCTGTACTGCATATCATTCGCACTGGAAGCTCAAATACAAAAATTTCATAGTGTTTGGGTATCAACAGTGAAGAAGATTCGGAAAGAGTTGTATGAGTCTAATGGTGATTACGAAGGTGTTTGGAGTTATCCTTAGTGATGGCGACGTTACGCCCGCATTCATCTTCCTACATGGCTTCAGACTCAACACCGAGGCCTACAATAATTGCCTTGGTGAGATAGTACTGCCCTGGATCAAGAAGGTGGCTGGTGGAAGATCTTGTGCCTGGTAACATGCCACCCAAGCAGGAGAACCCAATCATGGCAGTCAGACATTTTTAGCGACCGCATCATCCCTTACATCTGGTCACCTAATTCTCCAAACTCCAATCCCCTTGATTATTATGTGTGAGGCGCAGTTGAGTGAGAGACCAACAAAACTCCTTCTAACACCAAAGATGAACTGAAGGCGAAGATTATATTAGCATCCACCAACTTAAGGAGACCGTCCAGAAGAGATGCAGGTGATTCCGACGTCGTCTGGATGACTTGGTTGAAGCAAATGGCGATCTTATTGATTTTTTTTCTTTATTATTTCAAGCTATTTTTGTGCAAATTTTGCTAAATATATCTGTTAAAATGAGATTATGCAGCCTGTATTAAAGATAAAATAATGTCTAGAATATGAAAGCATCTTAATGTTCCCCGTGCCTTGAGAGAATATTGGGCCTCAAACTCACAGCCGACCTCATGTTGAACTCTTATATACATGTGATAAAGTGATTAGAAATAATTTCCCTTGTTTTATGATTACCTCCCTTTGGAAAACTGTTTC